CTAATTAAAAAACTTCTGACTTTTGGAAAAAAAAAAAAAAAAAAAAATCTGATTTTGGAACTTGAATCTCCAAAAGTAGGGATGGGTGTAATTTTTACTTTTTTTTAATTAGTTGGCCTACACCCTATATAGGCTTTATGAAGCATAGCCTGCAAGTGTAGTGCCATTGTTTATTAAATGCAATCATGATATACAAATCGATAGTAGAAATCGATTTTTGGATCACATCATAGGGGCCCACTGACTGCAATTGTCCTGGCTTGTTTCTTCAAGTGCAAGGAAATTGACCATTTTATTCCCCATAAAAGTTGTTTAAGTGCCACATTTCTCTCTCCTCAAAGTTGGTAAAAAGAGTGAAATGAGAAAGGCAAAATTGGTAAAAAGGGTTTGAGTGTCTAATTTTTTCTTGCAAAGTTGTAGACACTTTCCAATAAACAATTCACCAACGGTTCGATTTTTTATTCTCGACGGTCCGAATTGTGCTATGTAGCCGGCCCAGCCACCCTCTTAACTTTCAATATCTGGTGAATTGAAACCCCCCATCTACTTGTAAAGTTAAAACAAGGAGTCTAATTTCAAGATTCAACTCTTTCAAATAAAAATGCACATCACATATAAAGAGTCTCATGAAAATATTTTTATAATTTAAATTTTTCACCGTAACAAAAAAATTTAGTTAATTTTTGAAGTTAAGCCAAACATGAACATATATTTTAGAGTCATTGAGAATTTAGAGGTGTCCATTTCGTTTGCCGAATCGTGGCTTGGGCCGAGCCACACGGGCCAACTCGTGTCACTGGCTATTTTCTGCCCTTCACAAATAGGACCGATAAAAAAATAAACCATTTATAGACAATGTGTAGCTACATGACACGCTGCCTTTGCATGTAATAATAATAATAATAATAATAATAATAATAGTAAAATGAAATCATTTGAAGGCAGTTTGCCTGATATTAAAAAAAATTGTGGTCCGGCTCGAATCGAGCCTATTTTTTTTTGTCCGAATCATTTTTACTCGAGACGATCCCAAGTCTTAAGTTTCGGCTCGTGAGTCGACTCGACTCGACTTGTTGACATCCTTATGAGAATCTTTCACTTACATTGTGATATTAAATAATATGATTAATAAGGTGAATTTCATATCCACACGTTTAATTGAGTTATCGTTTCACTCTACATTATCTGTCACATTACACGAGAATATTCCCACTACAGTAAAACTTCTATAAAATAATAATATTGGAATCGAGAAGAATTATTATTTTAGAGAGATTATTAATTTATCGAAAAATGAACATTTATTAATTTATAGAGTATCTTATATCTTTATAACTTATATATTTTATCATAATACACGTAGGAAATTAAAAAAAATTTAAATGTGGTGAAATTCAAGATTTAATCTATAAGCAAACAAAAAGGTGCACATATACCTACTTTAAAGAGGAAACGTTTATGTACATACATTGACTTTAAAATTCAATATCTTGAAATTTAATTTGGATGCAAAGAAAAAGCAAAAAACTTTGAAGCACTTTTTTTTTTTAAAAAAAAAGAAGTGAATTGAAAAAAAAAAATTTTGACAAATCAAAAAATTGTTAATTTGTATTAGTATGGACTTTTATAAATTTAAATAATTATTATTTTTTATATTCGTTGAGTCTTAAAGAATCTAAAAAAATTATTATCTTATGTATTTAGCGAGGTTATTAATTTAGTAGATTGACCGAAAT